TGCAATGTGGGTGGGAAAGGAATGGAAGACAATTGTAGACACCAGAGATAGTGTGAGAAGAGGGTGGGAAAGGACAGAGGGTCAGAAAGAGGGGAAAAAATAATTCTAGGAACTAGAAATGGAAAATTTTTTATAATGTGCATGATTGAGTCACTATGCAGTGTGTACTGGATGGGAGATTGCATTTTGTGTGCTGTGATGATGCTTAGGGAAAGAATGTAAATTAAGTTACCAAAAAAAAAGTTTCAGAAAGAAAAAAATCTATTCAATGATTGCAGTAATATAGAGCCCCAGCTTGGTGCTACTTTATAGGATGCATAAAGTTAAACTTGAGTTCATGGAAATGTATATATCAGCTGTGTTTGCTATGAAAACATTTAGATTAATTAAGGTGTTTAGTAATTCAATAAAATGTGGGGGGAAAACAGTATAGAAAGCAAGCATAGATACCAGAGACAGTGTGGGAGGAGAGTGGGAGATGGCAGAGGGTAAGAGATAGGGAATTAAGGATGGGGGGGAAAAAAAAGCAAAACATACAGAAAACAAGAAATGGAAGATTATTTGCTGACAATAACATGTTTGTTGATCTGCTTAATTGAGACAATATACAGTGTACTCTGGATGGAAAATCTCATTTTGTATGCTGTAATGATGTATAGTGAATGAATGCAAATAAATAAATTGAAAAAAAAAAGAAAGAAAATGAGATGGTAGGCTTAAAAATAAAAGTTTGCTAATTTCACTTTGGGCAGCAACAACCACCTAAAATTTAAGACTGGTTTGCTCTGGTTGGTGAAAAACAACACACTTGAAAACTATGTTATACTTGGCAAGCAACATTGCTTCTTTGCCATGGTGCACAGACCTTTTCCCCTCACCATGACCAAAACCTAGACAAAAATACACACCAAAGAACCATCTGTTAGAATTCTTTAAGGAGCTATGTTAGCCAGCATTCTTCTGATTTAAGTCGGCTCCATAATGCAAGAAAAATTACTGTTTAGAAAGACATTTTTAAAAGTGTACATGTTAAGTAGCTACAAATGTCAGGAAACCTGTTTGCCTTGATAAAAAGATAAATGGCGAGATGGGTAACCGAATTAAGAGTTAACTGCTATTTAAACAACCAAAGAAGAGTTTGCTTATTTCTTTTTTTGGAGAGATTTTCACTGTAGGGCGCGTGCGCTCGCCAGACAGACAGAGAGAGACATAGAGACAGAAAGCGAGAAATCACCCCCCAGGGGGGATGGTCACGCCGCAATCCCTTCTCCTCCATTCTCCTCTCGGGATCTTGGGCACGCACGCACACGCGCCCGGCGTGAGTTTTAAGCCACCGGGTCCGGGACACGAACCGCGGTTGACTACGTGGGAGTCCAGCGACATAGCCATTACGCTAACTGCTGGTTCCCGCTTATTTCTTTCATGTGGGAGAGAGAGAAAGAGAAAGACAAGCATCCTGAACAGGGTCTTAAACCATGATCCTACCCCCAGTTTTCCCAGCTGGCCAGGATCAGGATGTGTGTGTGCTCGTATGAACAGGTAACCTGGGAACTGAACCCTGACCTTCCACATGGATTTCCAGCACGGCAGAGGAGTACATCACTGCTGTGCCACAGTGGCCCAGCTGAGCACTATTTTACAAAAAGGGCCTGGTACACATAACTATTAAAGATATTCCCTGCTTATAGAAAAAAGCTTTAAAGAAATATTGAATGTAAGTTAGTTTACATGAAAGAGTTTGTTACTCCATAGACTTCCACTTGTGACAAGGTTCATGCTTTCTCATCTCACCTCCCCATTATTTGTGAATCTGCCTGGCCTTTCCTCTTGTCTCACGGTTCATGACACAATGGGCCAAGGACACGCTATTACTCATCACTTACAAAGTCTGGTTGCTTTAGTTATCCGTTCTTTTTACTTTCTTGAATCAATCAATCCTGTTTAAGAAGCAGTGTCTATGGTGAGTGAAATAAGCCAGACTCCAAAAGACAAATGACACATGTTCTTACAACTCGTGTAGAAATCGAAGGAAAAAAAAAAACAAAAACATCAGCGCTTTAAAAGTAGAGACCTAAAGAATGACTATAGAGGCTGAGAAGAACAGGAGGTAGTGGGGATGGAAGGATGCTGATGAATGGAAGCAGAATTACAAACAGATAAGAGGGACATTTCTAGTGTTAAAAATACAGTGGCGGGCCACATGGTGTGGTGGTTAAGGGCGCTAGACTCCCACATGCCTGGCTGAGGTCTGAATCCTGGACCTGGTGGCTTCCTTTCTTACTTTCTCTCTCTCTCTCACTCTGTCCCTCTCTGGTCAAATTAAAATAAGTAAGTAAATAAAGTTAAAGAATTTTTTTAAAAATACAGTAGGGTGAATATAGTTAACAACAATTTACTGTATATCTCGGAGTAACTTAAAAAAAGGTTTTTGAATGTTCCCAAAGCAAGGTAAATGACGAATGGCTGAGATGATGGACATACGAATTACCCTGATTTAATCAATACACACTACATCCTTTTGTTGAAAACAATGAATATGGTGTTATCCTTGACTTGATTGTTGCACACTGCATACATGCTTTGAAAATGCATCTTGTGTGGGGCCAGCAGATGGCATAATGGTTAAGGCACTGGACTCCCATATGACTGTCCATGGTTCAAATCCCAGACCCAGTGGTTTGAAATTTACAACAGGTGCACATGTGTGCACACCCAAAATCCCAGGAAGGGAATCGAGAAGGGATTGTGATGTGGCCTCTTGCCTGAGGGGTGATCTCTCACTTTTTCTCTCACTGTCAGTGTATGCATAAATAAAAGGTATAGCACTTTTTAAATAATCTAAAAATGTCATTTATGATATAAAGTGTCGATGTTTAAAATACCAGAATGACTTAATATGAAATCAATTTATCCATAAGAAATGAAAAATAATTCCTTAAGGAGCTAAACAAAAAGTCAGGGGACAGGCTTAAATAGAAAACAAACAAACAAACAAAAAAATCGAGAAAATAGCATTGCTTTGGGGAGTGCTTTCCTCTCTCCCTTTCTCTCTCTCTTTTGTTTCTCTCTGGCAAAGGCATATACACTCTGACCACAAAAAAGACAAAAAGACAAAAAAAAAAAAAAAATCAAGAAAGTCATATAGAGTTGGCTCTGTAGTCTAGTGGTTAAGTGAACCAGATCCTCTATGGCTAACCACAGTTTGAAACCCAGTCCCAGAAGCTAGAAAAACATTCTATGTTTTGGGTGTATGTTTGTGGATGTCCTAAATTCTGATAGGATGGAATAAATGGAGGAGAAAATATTGCAATGTAACTATGCCACATTCAGGGGTGGGGGGTGTGGTGCTCCTCTCAACCCCATCTCTCTTTTTCTCTGGGGAGAATACACACCTTCTAGCATTAAAAAAAAGAAAATAGTACAATTACTTTTAAAATAAAACTACATTATAAAAAACTTTACAACAGTAGTGATTTTAATAAGTCAAAGAGTAGAAAATTCCATGGCTATTTAAAAAGAGCTAGACTGCCATCAACATATGTGGCAATTATAATGACATGTTGGTAGCTATATGTATTTTTGTGTTGCAGATACTCCTTTACTTAGGATAACTTTTACTTGCAGATTGTTTATCTCCCAAGCTAAAAATATTATCAAGAGTAAAAATTTCTTAAATAGCCAAGAATAAATGTAATTCGCCCATTATACATGATAGTTTACAAAATCTTAAGAGAGAAAATACTACATGCTGTATTTATTTTATATAACTGGTGGTAAAATATAGAAAAAGGAAGTCCAAACCTGCATAGGTCCAGGAATACAAGACAGAACTCTCTCTATGTTTTCAGTGGTCACGTCAACATCATTCACAGCAATAAGAACGTCACCTAAAAACAGAGTAACAATAAGAGTTGTGTTAATATCCACAAGCCAAAGATAAGGGCCTGCAGGTGGTGTGGTGGTTAAGGTGCCGGACTCTCACATGGTTAACCGCAGTTTGAGTCCTGGACCTGATGGCTTGTTTTCTCACTTTTCCTTTTTCACTCTTTCTGATGAAATTAAAAATAATAATAATAATAATAATGACAATGATAAATAAAAGTAAATAAATATTTTTTAAAAAGCCAAAGAGATTTAGAATTGGAACACTAAAGGCATCTATTCTTTTTTTTTTTTTTGAAGAGGTTTTTGCTATAGGGCTCATGCACTCACCAGACAGACAGAGAGACAGAAAGCGAGAAATCACCCCCCGGGGGGATGGCCACGCCGCAGTCCCTTCTCCTCCATTCTCCTCTCGGGATCCTGGGCCCGCCCACACACGTGCCTGCTGTGAGTTTAAGCCACCGGGTCCGGGACACGAACCACGGTCGACTACATGGGAATCCAGTGACATAGCCATTACGCTAACTGCTGGTCCCTAAAGGCATCTATTCTAACACCTCAAAGTAAATATATAGTCTGGGACTTGTCCAAGGTTATCCAGCTCATTAGTGGCAGAGATAATCCTACTCTTCTTAATGTGTACTACTGTCCATTACTGTATCGTAACTAAATATCACTTGTGACTATTTAAAGAGATGAATATTCCCATTTTTTTATACAACTGAAAGAAATAAATAAATCCAAAGGACAAATGGAAATTTCGTAGTACAAACTAAGCACTGCACTTAACAAAATTGAATCTTACCACTTAGACTCACAGTAAAAAAAAAAAAAAAAATCAGCTGAAATTATTACATCTATGTGGTACATTATAACTCAATATGCTGCAGTGGTCACTGTTATTATTTCTTTGCTTTAAAGTATCCAACTATATCAAAATACACATTATGTTTTGGTAAAAATCTCTTTTTTCCTGACTTTTCCCTAAATGTGTAGGTTTATCAAATTTGTCAAATTTGGTAATAAAGTAATGATCAGTGTTAAAATGGAAATTTACTTTCAGAACATAATTACAGAAAATGACAAAATACCAATTAACTTTATTAATAGAAATATAGACATACTGAGGTTATCTTTCTCATCATCCCTAAATATATTATTAGGAAATAGATAAAATTATTCAGATTTATCCTGTCATCTAACAGATATTTATTGGGAACTACTATGTGCCATGTACTGTTCTAAGCATGGCAAATAGAGAATCAAAGCCTTAGAAAGTTAATGTTCTTTGAGGGAAGATTGATTAATATATGCACATATGTAAAATGGTGTTGGTAGACAATTCATGGGTTCCTTCATGTTTCTGTATATCTTGCAAGCCAAGGCACTGAGAAACTTTATTCTGGATTGTCTTTTCAAGGACATTTCTACAGTTAACAGTTTTGGGCACTGACAGATGGCATGTCCCTCTGGAACAAATGTCAAGTTTGTTTACTATACAGTAATAAGAACATGTTTTGGATCAATATCTTATTATTAGTAATTGTTCTTTATAAAAGACTGGTACTCCCTAAGTTCAAAGTTCCTCTCCTTTAGTGCAGCCCACTATGACGAATCAGTTGGTCCTCTTTAGGGATGGGGAACATGAGCAAATGGTACTTTAGATACTGCTACTCCTCCCTCCCTTTCTCTCTTTCATCTCTACTGTATGAGCAAGGCTGAGTGCAGAATGAGCAGAAGTTTCCTAAGCCATCCCGTCAAGTCTTAGGAAGGCCTTCACTAGGCGCGAACGTCCAAGAGATGCTACTCAGTTGGGGTTTCTGTGAGTGTGAGCAGCGAGTCATTATGATGGTCAAGTATTATAGCATTTTGGGTAACCTGGGGACTTTTCTTAAAAATAAGAATTTGCAGACTACAATAAACTTTCAAATTTAGTTCCATTGAGGAAGAAAAAGGAACATGCCTAATTTCTCTTAAGTAAGATTAAACAGGAATATTGTATCAAATTACCTGAAACTATAGTGATTTCTTTTTTTTAATGAGAAGGATGGACACTATATAGGAGTATTGATGTAAAACAAAACCATTTTTGGACCATTAAAATGATGGATTCTGTTGTGTGTAGTTATCTTATCCTCAGGGTACTTATTTAAATAGAGAAATCACTTTATTTTACTTTACTTACTTAAAAAATTTTGCCAAACAGTGCATATGCTCATTGGAGAGAGTCAGTGGGGAGCGGGGGCAAGTGAGAAAACACCTGACCATGGGGAATGGTCACACCATAATCCCTGCTTCTCTATTTCTTCACCCTTTTGAGACCTGTGGCATGTACACACATGTAATGTGCATGTTTCTCAAGCTGCCATGTCTGGGACTCAAACCACAAGGCTGGGCATGTGGAATCCAGCTGCATCATGCCATGAGCTGGCCTATGAAAATTTTTCAGATTTGTTACTTTAAACTAAAACTCCTTAGTGGCAGAGTAGAATCATGTCCCAAAGGACTTTTTTTCTCCAAACTCTAATACATTTCTATAGTTGTGTGTAATAGGGAGTATCATCTGAAACTAATCATGTCTAACAAGGCTTTAAAAGTAGAGATACAGGGTCAGCCAGGTGGTGTGGTGTTAAGGAGGCAGATCCCACATGGTTAACTGTGTGGTTCAAGTCCTGGACCTGGCAGCTTAGAAAATAAACCAGGCACATGTATAAGAATGCTCAAAATCTCTAAAGGAGAATGGAGTAGAAGGGACTGTGGCATGGCTATACCCCCCCAGGGGGTGATTTCTCACTTTCCTTCTCTCTCTCTCTCTCTCTGTAACCTCTCTGGCGAGCACATATACCCTACAGAAAAAAACTAAAAGTAGAGATGTATATCATTATAAAAATATTTATAAAAAATTTAAATCAGGGGTACCTAATGGTTTTTATATATAAGTTCTTCTCTTTTAATGCAGTCCAATACTGGGAATCAGCTGGTCCTCTTTAGGGATGAGGAACACATGGATATATGTAATATAATACATATGTAAAGCTCTTTTATTTATTTCCAGAGAGAAAAACAGGTACTTTCAACAGGGTCTTGCCATGCCACAATCCAATGTTCGTCCCAGTGCTTAAATCAGTTTGCCAATGTACATTACTTATGAGAAAACCCATTAATTTCTCATCCTGTACTTAATATCAGACAACAAGTATATACTGAAGGGCTACTACATAAGATACTAAGGATATGACAATATATTTGCAAAAGTTTGTTTACTGCTCTATTTATGTCATTCATACGCAAAATGAATATGGAAAGATCCTGGATTCATGTCCTGAGATCTCTTATGCATGACAGGCATGTGTGTATGTGACCATGATCCTGGCTGGCTGAGGCTGGGGGGGTGGGGTGTACTGTGGTGTGAAGACCATATTAGTGGTGCCTCTTTCTCTCTCTTTCTGTCTCAATGAAGAAATAAATCAACTATTAGAAGAGTGAAACTATTCTGACTTCTAACAGATTAGTGTTGCCAGTTTGTCCTTGGCTTTTGCTTAGACATTATGCTATTGAGAAGCAGTCACGTTGATACATGTATAATTTACATCTATAATTCATTAGATATAAATTATAATGATAATTTATTAGATTTCATGTGCCCAGCATGAGTTTAAGCCACTGGATCTGGAACTCGAATCCCAGGTGACTACGTAAGAGTCCAGTGATGTAGCCATTACATGATCTGCTGGTCCCTTTGTGTTTTTTGTTTTTTTTTTTAAATGCAAAAATGTGTCAGGACTTTCCAGACAACTCAATACATAGTGTTCTCTCACCTGTAAGCTTTCTGCTGGGAGGATCAGTCATAAATACGTAGATTAACTTGAAGAAAAATAGAAATATAGTGATTGATACATAGTAGGAATTTAATGTTTGTTGAATGACATTATTTGGAGGGGCTAATCCCATACTATAATATAGAAAACTAGGGGCCAGCAGTTGGCATAATGGCTATGTCATTGGACTCCCATGTAGTCAACCATGGTTCAGGTCCTGGACCCGGTGGCTTAAACTCACACTGGGCGCATGTGCGTGCATGTCCAAGATCCTGAGAGGAGAATGGAGGAGAAGGGATTGTGGCATGGCCATCCCCCTTTGGAGGGTGATTTCTTGCTTTCTGTCTGTCTGTCTGTCTCTGTCTTTCTGGCGAGTGCACGTGCCCTATAGCAAAAACCTCTCCAAAAAAAAAAAAGGATTAGAATCCTTAAAGGATAAACAGGACGACCATCACGGTAGAAGTTCTCTTCCTTTGTATGGTTCATTCTCTTTTCTCCTATACAACGACATGAGGTGGTAGCCTTCATTCCTAGATGATTTAGCAAATTGAAGTGAGGAAGTGGGTGGAGGAGAGGGACACAGTTCACTAGCCATCACCATCTTTACACTGGGTTTCAAGAGAAAAAGGTAAAAAGAATTTTAGAGGTTTTCCTATAACCCACTTCAAACAGGGATTCAGAGAAGAGGCCCTTGCTGAGCAAAAAGAGAATGCATTAGCAAAGGGTTATCCACCACATGGAATCATAAAATTATGGTTGTTAGCAAACAACCAGGCAGCATTTTATAAGTAAGTATCCTGGCAATCTTTTACAGAACTCAACAAATACACCTTAGAAATATTTTTAGTATCATTTTAAAGAAAGAAAGTTGAGAACCTAAAAGAATGCTTAACAGTCATGTCTTCTTGTTCTGGGGTTGACTGGGCTCAGCTGAGGTGCTCACTATTGTGATTGGGCTGGGGTCATCTTGAAGGCTTCTTCACTCTTGTCTGATAACTGAAACCCTTAGCTGGGCTATCTGTCAGATCACTACTCGTGGTTTCTTCATGTATACTGGCTTTCCTCACAGAATGGCAACCAGGTGCCAAGAGCAAGCGTCCCCAAAAGAATTAGGCAGAAGTTGTATCATCTTTAATGACCCAACCTCTTAAGTCACACAGCATCGCTTAAGCTGTGGTAACAGGCTCACCCAGAATCAAGGAGAGGAGGAGTATCCACATTACACTGTAAGAGGAGAATGTGGATCGTGTTGCAGTCATTTTGGAACAACAATTTACCACAGATGCCCTTCCACACGATTCCACAGGCTCCTGCTTGTAAACCCCTATCATGACACTTATCACATGGTGTGACGCTGTTTGCCTATTTGTGACCTCTCTCTTCCACTTCAGTATGAGGTCCTTTACAAAAGTAACTCGATTGTTAGAACAAGTTTCCTATTCCTGGAACTTAGCAGATGTTCAAAAAAAAATTTGTTGAGTCCATAAACAAATGAAATTTAGATTTAAAGTCAAAACTATTTTAAAATGTTTCTAAAGTATTTGTAAAATATCTTCTAGTCAAATCTCATACTGGGTCAATTTAAGGAGCAGTCAGTTTTTAGAACTGTTACAACTTCTAAGTTCCACTTGTAACATATTAAATTTGATTACTTTACCTTTAAGTAATATATTGAGTTGTCAGAAAAGTCGTATCTTTGCATGGAAAAACATAGAAAAAATACATCATGACTTTTCTGACAAACCATTTGTTATAACTAACTCACACATTTTATCGAACTGCTCAAAACTGCTCAAAACATATCAACAACACAAAATGTTCATCTTAATAAATACATATTTAGATAACTTATGGATTTTTTCCCCTCAAAATTGGTGGGATATTTTATGATGAGCACCCTTAAAAGGAAATTTATGTATAACACCACTGTAGCTAAGTATGCTAAATGAAAAAGTTTAAAACCATGCTAAGAACTTAGTGTACTCAAGTGAAAACATACAATTTAAAGGTATTTTTATTCATAAATTATATATTTTGTATCATAATTTAAGGAGCAGTCAGTTTTTAGAACTGTTACAACTTCTAAGTTCCACTTGTAACATATTAAATTTGATTACTTTACCTTTAAGTAATATATTGAGTTGTCAGAAAAGTCGTATCTTTGCATGGAAAAACATAGAAAAAATACATCATGACTTTTCTGACAAACCATTTGTTATAACTAACTCACACATTTTATCGAACTGCTCAAAACTGCTCAAAACATATCAACAACACAAAATGTTCATCTTAATAAATACATATTTAGATAACTTATGGATTTTTTCCCCTCAAAATTGGTGGGATATTTTATGATGAGCACCCTTAAAAGGAAATTTATGTATAACACCACTGTAGCTAAGTATGCTAAATGAAAAAGTTTAAAACCATGCTAAGAACTTAGTGTACTCAAGTGAAAACATACAATTTAAAGGTATTTTTATTCATAAATTATATATTTTGTATCATGTCATTGATTATAGCCATCCAAACCTAAATTGCCACCCTATAGTCAACTTATTTTCTTTACTTGTCACTAAGTATAACTAAGATGAAATAAAATTATATAATCAAAAACTCAAAAGTTAGTTATTTCTTGCCTAGAACAAGGCACACATGTACTTGACACACTTAAATGCTTATTTTTAGAACACTGTGCCCTGGGACCATCAGATGGCATAATTCCCATATAGTCGACCACGGTTCAAGTCCTGGACCCAGTGACTTAAAACTCAAGCTGAGCATGTGTGTGTGAGTGCCCAAGATCCCAAGAATGGAGGTGAAGGGATTGTGATGTGGGTGTCTCCCCCGGGGGGGGGGTGATTTCTCGCTTTCTCTCTGGCTCTCTCTCTCTGGCTCGCCAGTGAATACACAGGCCCTACAGCAAAAATCTCTCTTAAAAAAAAAAAGAACATTGTGTTCCATCATTCATAACAATTTCACTATCGCACCAATATCACTGATCAGGCCTTAATCTGTGGAGATTCTGTATATAATTCTGTGTCTGTCACACTTTTACAAGGCATCATCATTAATCACGTAGATCTGCAAATCTGATGTTCTCCAGTAACACTCACCAATTAATATCTGGCCACTCTTCATAGCAGATCCTCCTGGCAGCAGGCCATGGACCACAAGCCTCTCTCCATCACCCTGTTTTCCAGTCCTTCGCCAGCTCCGCTTGGTCTGATGGATAATTCCAACCAACACTTCTAGAAGCTTGAATTGCTCTTTAGCTTTGGTGACAGTAAGCTTTTTGGGATTTACATAAACATTCACGTCTTTGTACCGCTGTTGGACAATGACTCCTGTCTTCTGATTGGACTGATGCTTTAGAATGGATACTGGCCCATTGTCATTGCTATTTTTTTTATTGTGGCGCTTGGGTAAAAGTCTTTTACTTTTTAAAATTTTAGTGAACCGCTTGAGTTTTGGCTCATACTTTTTTCTTTCTTTGTAATCATCCCCTTCAATGATAATCTCATTTTCACTGAACCTGACGCGGTTCACAGCAGGTGTCTCAGGAAGGAGGCTTTCTTCTTCATCTTCACTCAATTCTAAATAAAACAGCTCTCCACTTTTCTGCACATTGTCCAGCCATTCAGGCTCAAGGTCACTATGAAAGAGAGAAAATCATCTGAACAGCAGCCCCATATAAGAAAAACAATGATATTTTCTTGGCAGGGATGTGGGGTTTGGGGGCTGGGGGAAGTGGGAAGGTATGAAAGTTCTTGGATTATTTCATATTCTCCTTACTATTTCTAGTTTATTGTGAGCATCAGCATTATTTCCCATAGGATGCTTTTATAGAGCCTCGATGAATAGGAGTTTGAGAGAGGAAATAGGAAAATAATTTTAGTCCTTTTTCAAGTCCCAGCCCTGGTAGCTTGACAAACACATGGGTACATGTACTTGCATGACCCAGATCCCAATAGGATGGAGAAATGGAAGGGACAGTGATGTCATGACCACACCCATTGGGGGTGCTTTCTTCCTCTCCATCTGCTTCTCTCTGGTGAGAACACACTGCTGAACAAAAAAAAAAGGCATAGTGATAGGAAAAGAAATAAAAACAGAATCACTTTCTAGAACTTATAACTTTAAAAAAGGAGGTAATTAAGGCACTGTATGCTTATTGTTTACTTTAGACACTGGACTGTAATTTACCTTGGCAATGGCTATGTAATTATTAATATATCAACAGAAGCAAACCATTTAGAAATTGTACATGAAAACATTCTATTTGCATGGAAATTATTTGGCATGGCTATCTGGTTAAAATGAAAACTAGAGCCTGTTTACATTAATACTTTGCTTATGTAATAAATTTTTAAAAAGGAAACTTTTACTTTACCATGAATAAAATCAGTTTATAATCACAGCTAATAATGATCACTTCTATAGCCTGTAATTTCTGTAAAACTCCTTTTTAGGAATAATTGTGGTAAGAAAAAGAAAGCACATGTTACACAATTCACCATTTGATTGTAAAAAAATCTTTTTAACTGTGCGGTAGGTCACTTAAAAATACCAAAATTATTGCTATTAAATGATTGAAACAGCATTAAAAGACAAATACTGATCTTAAGGTAACAAACCTAATCACAAACTCTATCTTGTTCAATGTTATAAAGAGATTATCTTTCATACTGCTATTCTTTAAAGTGAAACTGGTTTCAGTGGAAGAACTAACATATGGGGAGAGTCTTCACAAACATGAGCTGTAATATCCTGGCATGAAAGGGTATAATCTGTGTTCTAATCATTCAGTCTATTATTTTCTGCAGTGTTTATTAGCAACTTTGGTTCTTCTAACTTAAAAAATCAAATGTCTCTTTCTAAATATTGAGAAAATTAGTCCCCCAAACACACTATTCTATTACTCAACTCAAATTAAACATTGCCCTGGTATGTGGCTGGTCATTAATACAGAGTTTTCAATTACATATGAGTCATTTAAAAGAGGGCATAATTGGATTAAAATATGAAAACTAGTATTTCTTTGGTCCTGTTGGTTCCCAGTGCAAGGCATCATTTTAGGCATTTAGCACCAACTACCACAGATTATCCATCATGTATGACTTGTTTTCACCCATACCTATCTGTACCCACAGAAATCAGTACTTAATAACTCTTCAGTTCTACACTGGAGAAACTATGTCCCCACAATAAATATTTCGATAACAGACACACTATAATTTTAATTGGCACAGTGTAAATACTGTGGTTATTCTTTAATTGCTAACCAATTTAAACAACGAGTAAAGTTTATCTGCCTTGTAATTTCACCCTTTTGATTTGGTACATTATTTGTATTAGAGATTTGTGACCCCAAAGAAATAACTTTTCTCTTTTTGTTGAACATGAGAATGTTTCATGTAAATTTCTAAAATTTGAATGTGAAACCACTTTCCGATTATGATTTAAAGACCATGCAGGTGGGGGAGATGAGAAGGAAAAATAAACAGTACCAGCAACTCAATGATGAAAATGTTAGTTCCTTCTTTTACTTGGTTGGGGGAAAAAAAGTAGTCATGATAGTACATTAGTTAGTACCAGATTCTGGCATATAGGAAGAGCCTCTTAACAGCCTCTCAAGAAGTCCAGTGTAAGGCTGTGGGAGACTTTTTAGTAGAGACTCCAGAAGTGAGTCTTTGAAATGTTAAGTGGTGGAGATAAAAGTTGAGGAGCTAAGAAAGAGGGAGGAGATGGGAGCCAGCAGTTAGTGTAATGGCTATATCTCTGGACTCCCACGTAGTCAACCGGGGTTTGTGTCCCGGACCTGGTGGCTTAAAACAAACGCCGGGCGCGCGTGTGTGTGTGTGTGTGTGTGTGTGTGTGTGTGTGTGTGTGTGTGTGCCCAAAATCCCAAGAGGAGAATGGAGGAAAAGGGATTGCGGTGTGACCATCCCCCTGGGGGGTGATTTCTCACTTTCTGTCTCTATGTCTCTCTCTGTCTGTCTGGCGAGCGCACGCGCCCTATAGGGAAAATCTCTTCAAAAAAAAAAGAAAGAGGGAGGAGAGAAATATAAACAGAAGTAACAACGTAAGCAAAGGCTTGAGAGGCAGTCTCCATGGCCACTATGGAGAACTGCAGATTGTCTTCAGTGGCCACAAGTATATGTACAGGGGGGAATGGTAGAGGTGGCCAGGCTCTGATTTTGTGAGACTTTTGGGGCCACACAAAGGGGTCTGGGTTTGTAGTGTAGGTAACAGGGCATCAATAGAGAGTTTATTAGTAGAGTGTTTACATGTCAGATATCCCTGGATAAACCTATTTTGGCAAGCAAATGGAAGGTAGACTTGTGGTGAAGAAAACTAAAGACAGAAGGACCAGTTATGTGGCTGTTCAGTGGTCAAAGCAAGATGACTAAGAGATGGAAAGTAGGAAAAACATTTGAAAAATGCTTGAAAATCACTAGGACTTTGAAACTGACTAGGTGAGAAGATGAAAGGAAGAGATTAATGATGACTAGATTGCTTACTGGAGTCTGTACTTTCATACATCCTTTTATGCGTACACAGGCACACTCATTTCCATCAATGGGAACATAATTATCAACAGTTGATTTTTCCCTTCTTATCTACCTATAGGCACAAATAATGCTAAAAAAAATCCATGTTTCTATACTTATATAAAAACATATGTGAGGTTATTCTGTCATTCTTTTGATAAGGCAGAATCATTATATATACATACATCTATATAAAGGTATATAATTCATTACCTTTCTAAGTTCTCACTTAATAATAGTTTAGAAATCACTAATGGCTATATAATATTCCATACCAGGAATGTAGCACTGTTGTCATTCACCTACTGATAAGTTTTGTGTTCAGTTTTTGTTTTTGTTTTTCCCTATAGACAAAATTACAGCAACCATCCTTAAAAATATGTGTGTATCTATAGGTCTTTACCCAAAAGACTATACCAATTCATAATTCTCTAGCAATGTATAAGATCCATTTTCTTAATGTCTAGATTAAAAATATTTCACTTTGGGACCAGCAGTTAGCGTGATGGGTATGTCGCTGGACTCTCATGTAGTCGACCGTGGTTCGCGTCCTGGACCCGTGACCAAAGTCCTGAGAGGAGAATGGTGGAGAAGGGATTGGCATGGCCATGCCTCCCCCCTGAGGGCTGTGATTTCTCACTTTCCCTCTGTCTCTCTCTGGTGAGTGCATGCAATCTATAGCAAAATTTTTTTAAAAAAAGGAAGGTAAAAGAAGGAAATAAAGATAAGAAATTAAATGTGAGAGAACTAACATAGGGAGGTGACATAAAAGGAATATGTACTGAGACAAGACAAAGTTCTGTTCTATTACGATTTCAACCTTTTCAAGATTGATTAACTGATTCTAATCTTTAGTTTTCCTTCTTAAAAACAGATTATAGTTACCTCAGAAGATTATCTGCCTGGCATGGTAAGGGCCAAGTAAATGTCAGTTCCCTTCCACTTGCCTCACAAAGAAGCTTACGCCTTTATCAGATACAGTCTTGTGCTTCTGCATTTTTTTTAACTCCTGGCATTAAATGAAGGTATCTCTAATGACCTCCATTTGGGTGCTGGTGACACATGAAGCAAAACTAGGAGCTGTCCTCAAGGCTCCGACAGTTCAGTATTCCTAGACAGTTCCTTATTCATACTCCAGAAGATAAATCCATAGTGGGACCAGCTGTTAGTGTAATGGCTATGTTGCTGGACTCCCATGCAGTTGACTGTGGTTCAAGTCCTGGACCCGGTGGCTTAACGTCACTCTGGGTGCACGTGTGTGTGCCTAAGATCCCGAGAGGAGAAAGGAGGAGAAGGGATTGCAGTGTGGCCATCCCTGCTGGGGATGATTTCTCACTTTCTGTCTGTCTGTCTCTGTCTTTCTGGCGAGCTCATGCACCCTATGACAAAAACCTCTACAAAAAAAAAAAAAGGAACAAAACCCAACCTTTCATTGCAGCTATTCATTAATAACAAAATTAAAAACATTAATGTATGCAGATAATCCCACTCCAGGAAATGGAAATTTAGTCCCTCCTCCCTTTTAGTGGAAACTTAATGACTGGCTTCTGTAGAAAACGAGTATGGGAAGGAAAAAATGGTAACTTTACCAATGTCTGCCAGTGAAGAGACCTGGCAGACACTGCCATAACCAAGAGATCGAGGTTATGAAAAAAAAGGGAAGGACTGAGTTGTCACGGACCAGAGGAGACTTAGGAGACATGATGACTAGTTGCAATATGATATCCTGGTTTGAATCCTGGAATAGAAAAGCAACATTAATGGAAGGGTGGTGAAATCCAAAAGATCTTTGGAGTTTAGTTAATAATATGGACCAATGTGAATTTCTTAATTTAACAAATGTACAGTAAGTTAACAGTAGGGGTGAAACTGGCTGAAGATTTACTGGAAAGCTATGATTTTTTTAACTTTTAAATAAATCTAAACTTACTCCAAATTTTTTAAAAAAGAAAAAAGGAAGTAAATGTAGCAGCTTTAATTCAGACTTTTGTAATACATGGGTCATATTAATCAGCATTAACATAATATGCTCAACATTTTCTGAGACCCTACAATGCAAACTGTGGAGTTCTCATTGAGTAAACCTATTTCACGTTTTTCA